AAATTCCTTCAAACATTCTATTATAAAAGGACTGCACAAAGAATGCAAAAACTAAATATAAATCATAGACTAAAGAGAATGCACCATGGTTATTCTCAAACAAGGTATCCATAATTATACGAGTCCAAGGAATTATCAGAACATGCCAAAACACGGAACAGAAAAAGGTAAACAGCTTTCTATTCTTTGAAAAAATATTCCAAGAAATGAAACAAGAAGAAACATCATTTTTGTTTTACAATAAATGAACATGAAGATCTGAGATAAAGACAATAGGCAGAGTAGTACAACTCCTCAAAATACTCGAACTGCCAAAGGCCTTCAGACAAATAGCAATTTCCATAATTGTAATCTAAATACAATACTATCCATTTAATTTTAAGAATTAATACAAAACATATGTATTACCTTTCTGTTCAATATATATGTAAGTATGTATGTATGTATTACCTAAAAATCCAAGCATAAGCAACAGTAATATCAACGAAACCAGATAAACTGGAAACAATTATTGAGACCATAAGAACCAAGTGCAGCCTTTTTACCTATGTTTTCTAAATGCCATTCAAGCTCCATTCAAATAGCTTCCCCGATCCTCCTGGCCCACAGTATTATTGAGTGCCAATAATGGTTTCAGAACTATAATATCAGAATCAAGATAGATGCCACCATAAATGCAAAACAGATGAGCATGCAGGAATAAGAGCAGAAGGAAAACAGTGTAAACATTGAAACTAAAAGGTAGCACTCTACCAAGTGAAATCTGCTATGTAGCAATCGATTAAAACAATTATGACAGCAAATTGATAGCATGACTAAAAATTGCATCCTGAACCTCACAAAAGCATGTGCATAGATGAACAAGCTTACTTGTAAAGGGCAGCAAGTCGTACAAGCTCACTATAATGGGTAGCATAAAACTTTGTCTTTCTCCATTCAAACCACACGGAAGCAAATACGTGTGTTAGGTGTATCTTTCAACAATTCATCAAGGTTTGGCATTGCCAAAGCAACTTTGTAACTGTGATGAACAAGAAACCATTAATAGAAGCATAGAAATGATAAATCAAAATGCAGACCCAGAAGAAAACTTACCCATCTTTCACAAAGCTGTCTTTGAAAAAATCAAGCTCAATAGTTTCAGAGAACACTAGGACACAAACATCTCTATGCTGAGCAAGCAGAATCTTCAGCCCTCTTTGGTGCCTAACACTATACATCCACGGAGGTGAACTCCATATCATAAAAACTCTAATATCACATTCCCTTTCTTAATAAATGCATCCACAAAATCCGTAAAAGACAGCCTTGAGTCCAATCCAGGATAGTAACCCCATCTCCTTCCGTCAGCATATATATTCCCCGAAAACTCGGAGTTACTCTTATGAGCTTCTAAATCTACATTATTGACTTCATTCTTCCCAATTCTACTCTCATTCCAACTTGAATTCGAACTCAAATCATCTTTACCACTATAGCTACTTTCTTTCACTTAACACATTCCTCGCATTTTCATTTTTCTTACTCATACTGCCTTCCTTAACCTCCAAGCCAGTCTAGGAGATCCCTAAGGGCTTCTTCCCAGTAAAAGGGACCTTCTTGAACTCACTCAAAATCCCCTTTTGCACCATTTTATCCCCTCTAGTCAAGCCAGTAACACCAACCCCATCAGGGTCTTGCAGTAAAGGATTATTCAATGGATTCAAAATCTCTAAATTGGATTTAAGCATTCTATCCCTTCTCAAGAAATCACTTTTCTTATCAAACCAATCACCCCATTTCTCCCTCAAAGGATTCACTTTTCTCCCAGCAACTTTCTTCACCAGCAAAGCATCTTCAATACTTTCCACTACAGTCATTTTCCTCCTAACTTCCTCATCTAATGGGATATCATCGGATCCAAAGGCTGCCTTAATTTTATCATCATCCCCTCCAAACCCATCATTCAAAAACCCCCCATCGTAATCCCAATCTTGAATCGAACGTTTATTGAAAGCTCTTCTAATTGACCCACTTGAATGGTCGAAATAAAAATGCCCAGAGGAAAAGATCTTGTTTTTTTATTCATTGTCGTCATTTCTGGCTCCTCTTGCTCGACTTCATTGCCGATGTCGTCATCGGTAATTTCTTTTTCTTCGAGGGTGTCCAATTCGTCAATTTTGTCGTCTGTTGAGGAGGTGATGGTGGTGATGGCGGCAACATCTTCGGAGTCGGAGAGGAGAGGGATAGTGGAGAAAACGGCGTCGTTGTTGTTGCAGTCGTCTACGTGGGAGTGATGAGGATACATGTCGGATTTGGAAGAGAGAGAAAGACGGGTGTAGAGGATAAATACTGAAAATAAGAGAAGAAGAGCTGAGATCACTGCACATGCCTGTGCGCCGTAACGTGGCCGCCGCCTAGATCGGAGATTTCTTATCACTTTCCCCCGTCGCTAATCTCTTAACGGATTCCGACAATGAATAAGATTGAAGATGAAATTCGACTGCGCAGAAAGTGGTTAGCATTAAAATGGAGCATTTGATCTTGATGGGAAGTTAACTTCTCTAACCAAATTTGTAAAATTCGTTTAAGGGTAAAGTATAGTAATGGTCACTAAACTTTTCTACAACTTTCATTTAGGTCTCCAACTTTTAAAACTTGTAATACAGTCCTCCAACATTTAGTCCGTTTGCAATATGGTCCCCGACGTAACCAGCTATTTGACGCCGTTACACTGCCGTTAGTACGTTTGCAGTATGGTCATTGAACTTTTCAGGCGCTTGTATTTAGGTCCCCCAAATTTTAAAACTTACAACACATTTCTTAATTTTATTATAAACCCCAAATTCCTTTTCGATCATTAATTTTCTTTCTCGCTTCTCTCTTCTCATTTCTAGCATAACTTTTCATTCGGTGATGCATGGGAAATTCTAATCTAACTTTGAATTATATGGAGATGTTGACTTGAATAAAGGTCTATTGAGAAAAGACCCAACCAAGGGACTATCGGGAACATCAATGATTCAAGGTGTAATATTATATACAAGTCATCTTAGGTGAAGTATAGATGTTCGATGAAATGCTTGTGAGAAAAAAAATGGGGTTAGAAATGCAGAGTTGACAAATATTACTAAGATGAACTAAGTATCATTGTTGAAAGTCACCAACAAAGCTGAATTATTTTGTATAAATGGAATATAATAATTTCTTCGTTTAATCCTTGTGGTTAAAGATTTTTCAACATATGATCAAATATAATGAAATCCCAAAAAGTGTATTCACCTCTCAGTCTCTTTCGCTCGCATGCACTCTCGTTTGGTTTTTATTCTTCAATTTTCCGCCATGTAAAATTGTAAACCCAAACAGTGCTATATCTTTCAGCTTTTTATTTACAAAGAAAAAAATGGAGGACGAATTGCTGGAACGCAACACCGATTGTGTTTATTTCTTAGCCTATCCCCTCACTTGCAAGAATGTATTTATTTTCTCTTTTGGGTTATCCGGAAGTAAGCTTTTCATTTTTCGCACTTTCTCATTTTCAGCTCGCATTGTGTGTTTTTTGTTGAAATTTTTATGTTTCTGGAGCTGCATGTGAATGATCTGGATATTCAATTTTAGTTTTGAACCAAAACCATCTAATTTTCTTTCTTTTTTCTTAATAAAAACTTTTAGTGCTCCTTATGAAAGATGTTAAGTCCATCAAAATAGAAGTGAAAGAATGTCCTAAGCTAATTTTTTTTTTATTTTCTTGTTTGGTTTTTCTTTAAATCATGGAATTGATTGTGAGTATCGACATAGTGAAATCGCCAGGCTCAAACCGAGAGATTGCTGGTATTAGTTTACTGGGAATTGTATTGATCCGACCTGTGGTTTTCGACGTCTTGTGAGTTCGTATTCTTTTTAATAAGTTCATGTTGATTATGAGACTAATATATCGTGAACGAATTTATTTTTTTACATGTTTTGAAAATTGAGTACTGTGTTGCAAGTTTTAAAAGTTGGGGACCTAAATGCAAGTGCCTGAAAATTTCAGTGATCATATTGTAAACGTACTAACGACGGTGTAACGGCGCCAACTGACCGGTTACATCGGGGACCATATTGCAAATGGACTAAATGTTTGAGGATTGTATTACAAGTTTTAAAAGTTGAGGACCTAAATTAAATCTTTAAAAAAGTATAGCGACTATTACTATACTTTACCCTTCGTTTAAAAGGGCCACCCTCACCCGGGTAAGTTAAATCAAATCTGGTAACTAGGGGTGTAAACGAGCCGAGTCGAGCTCGAGTATCGCAGAGCTCGACTCGAACTCGAAAACTTTAAATGTTAGCTTGACTCGACTCGAAAACTCGCGAGCCTAAAATTTTCAAACTCGACTCAAACTCGAAAGATAATATTGAAACTCGACTCGAACTCGAAAATGCTCAAACTCAAAAAAAAATTCAGGAGCTCGATTGAAGCTCGAGACTCGAGCTCGATTGAAGCTCGATTTTGAGCTCGATTCAAGCTCAAACTCAAACTCGAACTCGATTCAAGCTCGAACTCAAACTCGAATTTGAACCTACAAAAATCTTATATTGCATTTAAAATATATAAATAATTTTCCCTTTAATCAACCATCACCAATACATTATAATATGAATATATGAACTATAAAAAATCTAAAAAAATAAAAATACAATTACAAGAAACTTAAGATAATTAATATATGGTGCAAATCCACCAGGAGGAAGCCCGAGACAGTGCGCTACCCACGTGAACCCACCGAGGAAGACCCATGCTGGTCAGCCATCCACCGAAACCAATGCTGCTGTCGCCCATGCTGGCCATGCTCGAATCCATGCCCTGCAGACACACAAAACAAGGGATAGAGCACCAAGCACAAAAAGGGACAGAGCCTGCAAATGCTGGCCATGCTCGAATCCATGTCGTTACACGTCATTTAAAAACAACCTGTTAAAAAAGACTAATAGGTATAATAGAAAACGAGTTAGTTTTATTTGTCTGGACTCTGGAACAAGTGGGTTGTCGGGGTTTGGATCAGTCAGTAAGGAGCAGATTGAGAGCAAAACTTGTTTTGCACCAGTGTTAGTTTTGTTGACAATGTTTATACATTGTACTATTTTAACTATGGTATTAGCAGGAGTAAGGACAGACCTTGGAAATGGTTAGTGCAGGGCTCCATTGTTCTTTTAGGATATCAAGACAAATGCTCTCGTTGCTGTTGATGTTTGGATGTAAGACCTTGGTTCTAAATGCAACCTATACAACAAAACAACATTGTCCATGAAAAGAGTGTGTAGAGTATCATACGAACAATCATCAACACTAGAGTAAAACATCGCGGGTGAAGTAAATTACCTTAGGAGGCTTGAAAGGGTAGTCCAGAGGAAAATGAATCGTAACTAAAAATACACCTCCAACATAAGGGCTATCGGAAGAGCCCACGATTGTTGCTTGCCAATGAAACATGTCTTGAGCTACAGGACCTATTACAAAAAAAAAAGCATCCAAAGGTTACCTAAATGACATCCATTGATGCACAAGTCAAAGTTCAGATAATAATAATGAACAGTCTGAATCGGATCAAACAATTCTAGTATAGGAACCGAAAAGCTTGTCGATTAAATCAAAATCAAGTTGGAAGGCAAACAGACTACATGAATATCAAGGCCTAAGGAAGGGATTTGCTCATTTTTCATGATGAAAACCTTCATTTTCAACAATAAGCAGCCCTAACGTATATAAGGGTAAATGAGCTAAAGCAAATACAAGGAGTCAAGTTTGGAGCTTTGGGGTTTTAAATTTTTAATCGATTTTATTCATAAGCTAAAACTAAGTACGCAGTTAAAAACAATGAAAAAGGTAGGGTAAGCAACATAAACAATGAGATCAAAGTATGGTATTGTTGGTAAAGATATATTGACATTAGGCGGTAGAAGATGAAATGTTACCAGCACTGCAAGAAGTGGGTGGATCTTTCTGCAAATCCTTGAGTTCCTTCAAAATCCGCTTTGAAGCCATGACGCTCGAACAGAAAAGAACGCAACAGAACAGAGGACAAGACAAAAATTCTTTCTAGATGGACAGGAGCCAGGAGAGAAAAAAAAGAAACGAAAAGAAAGCTAAAAATATAGAAGGGAAGAACAAGTTAGAAAAGTATAAAGCTTTGAATTCAATGATCAAACTTTGAAGGCAGAGAGATCCTTATCCTCTTCTCCACCCGCAAATCCCTTGACTTTGCACTTGAAGCTTCAAACTAAGACACACAAAGAGAGCAATTTTGCTATTAGGGCTGTGCGGCTGTGTTTGGTATTTTGTGTGCGTGAGTTTAGTTTAGGTTTAGTTAAATTTAGGTTTCATATTAATTTTTTGGTAAATTAAGTTATAGTCCCCCAAACTTGAGCACGCTTTTGTAAATACTTAATTTAATTCTTGATTTGTATGTTGAATTTTACGTTTATTTAAATTTAGTTATTAGTTTAATATGTATATGCATGTTTAATAAATTTATAGTTTGGTATGTTATATTTTAATTTTTGTATTTCAATCACATTTGTTTAAATTTTCTTATTTGTTTTAAATGTTCATGTGTCATTTATGTTATTTTCCATTTTATTTTAGCTTAAACCGAATAATATCAATTTCATATAAGACCCTATAGTTTATGCGCATTTTGTATTTAAGTCATTGGTTTAATTCCAATTTTGTAAGTTTAATTTTACATTTACGTGAATTTAATCATCATTCTAAAGTTAGTATATTTAGTTTAAATTAGTCCTCACATTTAGGTTTCTCTTAATTTAGTCTATGTTTAGGATTGTTTTCTTTAATTAGTTGTGTATATTTATTTTGCATGTTGATATGTTTATGTATAAGTATGCTAATGATTTATTTAGGAGTCACATAACATCATTTTGCATAATTTGTATGTGACTTTCATGTGCATAACTTAACTCCTATCACATAATTGGGTTTAGGGGTTAAGGTTTAGTGTTTAAGGTTTATAGTTTAGAGTTTAGGATTTATGGAATAGATTTTAAGGTTTATTACAAAGACATTAATTAATCGACTTAGTATCGATTTATGAGGTAAGTATAATTTAGGGTTTAGGGTTTAGGGTTTAGATTTTATGATTTATGTTTTAGGGTTTATAGTTAGGGTTTGGGGTTTGGGGTTCATTATAAAAGATATTAATTAAAATTTGAGGGGAGTTGTATTATATAATTTTTAATATATTTTTAAAATGTTATAATTATCAATAGTGTATTTTTAATAATGTAATTTTAAAAAAACTAAAATTATAAAATAACATTTTTTTCGAGCTGCTCACGAGCTTTTCGAGTCGAGTATCGAGTAGCTCGTTTCGGCTCGTTAAGAAATCGAGCCGAGCTCGAGCTCGAGTCGAGTTCATTCGATCCGAGTATTTATCGAGCCTTGATCGAGTCGATCTCGAGTAGCTCGCGATCTGTCTCGTCTCATTTACAGCCGTACTGATAACCATTCTAGAAATTTTTTTAATAGAAAAAATAAATTTATTTTTTCAATTAAAATTCTGTAATTAGTGAATTCAAGCGATATTAATAAAACTGTTTTTCTTATTAAAATTTTAAATTTCAGTAGTTATATTTATAAGATATATTATTATTATTAATTAATTATTTTAAATAATTTTTACTGTTATAATGATCATAAACTATTCGAAAAATTTATAATTAATCATAGTGTATCTGGGTAAAATATAAAATAAAGTGATATAAAATTTGTATTTGTATATATTTTGGTAAAATAAAAAATATTAATGATATATTTAATAAAATTAAAATTTATAGTCTATATATGGTTAATTCGTTAAAATTTAAAAATGTATATATCTATAAGACATTAATTTTAATGCAGCTTGAAAAGATTTGATAGAAAGTTATATATATATATATATATATATATATATATTAAAAAAGTTATAAAATTTTACATGATGAACTTAGGGGTAGTGGGTGGAGGAGTTGCCCCAAGAAATCTAAAATTATTATATATATTTTAGTTTTATTCTATGTATTTTCTATTAAAAATTTATTTCTGTCATTTAAAATTTTATAAGTTCAAGTTCTCTCTTTAACTTAAAATCCCGCATCCATCTCTGATTCATAACACATTCAGATAAAACAAGATATACTAACATAGGCACAAATCAAATGGTTTAAGTGATAAAAGAATTATTATTATTTTTTAAGGTCTAGAATTTGAAAACCAAGAATATAAAGAGTATAAGCGTTAAATACTAAAAAATTATTTGAACATATATTATATTATACTTACTTAAATTAATAATATATATATATATTATCTTAAAGTTTAGATTTTTGTATTAGCTAGAAACTAAAGTTGATTAATGTTGATTGAAAATTAAAAAGTATTATTATAATTTTTTTAACGATATACTTTAATTTTTAGGATGACATCATAAAATATTAGATATAAAAATTGTAACGTATATTAAAATCTTTTAACAAATGTTAAACTCTTTTGATATTTTGACATACAATTTTTTTAACAAATATCTAAACTTTAAGCGAATGACTAGAAATTTTAATATTTGGATTAATATTTTCATAAAAATATTAATTTAACAGAAGTTTTAAAAGCTTTGAATTTGATAAAAGGTTAGACTGATGCATAGTAAAAAGGGTGGGACTATCGATACCAAATGTTTTACTCCTATTTATCCATAATTTATATAGTGACGAGCTTTAATCCCCTGGATCATCGATGGTGTTTAAAAATAAAATGGTTGGGTTTTTTTTGTCCATTAAGGTATTCGGGTTTTTTTTTGTTTAATTCATATACCCGGATTTTTATTTTAAGATCTAAGGTGTTTTCTATGGTGTTCATAATTTTTTTTTAAAATTTATTACATTACAGAAAAAAATCTAAATAAAAAATATTTTTATTAAAATTTATCATTTCAATGTGAAGAATTCTATGCACCGTAGAAAATGTTGTAGATAAAAAAATGTTTGTGTCATTTTGCTAAAAAAAATTCGAGCTACCTATTGCGCCAAAAAACCAATGGTTTGTGTGAACAAAGGCCAACCCACATCTCTAAAAGCATTCTTCCTCGGCAAGAAAAATGAAAACTACATAAAATGCACTATTTTCTCCTTTGCTTCCTCCCTTCCCATTCTAGACATTCCCGAAAGTATTTCATTGTCATCTTCTTCGTAGATCACAATCATGGGTGACAGTCAATATTCATTCTCTCTCAACTTTTAGGTAATGTCTTCATCCCTTACTAACTTTATAAGCGGAGTATATTTTTAATAAATTTTTTTGGTGTGTTTTTAATAGTCTTTCGGGCAAGCTAGTCCAAATCGAACACGCCTTGACGATAGTCAGGTCTGGTCAAACATCTCTTGGAATCAAAGGTTTCTTTCATGTTCTTAAGAGAAAGAAAGGGTTTATGGATTTTAGAAGTAGTGAAATAGATGCATGTGGGTTTTACCTTTATATTAATAAGGGTAAAGTATAGTAAGGGTCGCTGAACTTTTCTGAAACTTGTATTTAGATTCCCCAATTTTTAAAACTTAAAATACAATCCTCCAACATTTAATCTGTTTGTAATATGGTCCTCGACGTAACCGGCTGTTTGATGCCGTTACACTACCGTTAGAAGAAGATGACGTGGTAGTCCTCCAACATTTAGTTCGTTTGCAATATGGTCACTGAACTTTTCAGGTGCTTGAATTTAGGTCCCCCAATTTTCGATCTCGAATTTTCTTTTCCGTTTCTCTCTTCTCATTTCCAGCGTAACTTTTTAGTCGGGAATGCATGAGAAATTCTAATATAACTTTGAATTCTGTGGAGATGTTGACTTGAATAAGGGTTCATTGAGAGAATACCCGACCAAGGGACTATCCAGACCATCAACGATTCAAGGTGTAATATTATATACAAGTCATCTCAGGTGAAGCATAGATGTTCGATGAAATGCTTGTGAGGAAAAAAACGGGGTTAGAAATGCAGAGTTGACAAATACTACTAAGATGAACTAAGTATCATTGTTGAAAGTCACCAACAAAACTGTAATTATTTTGTATAAATGACATATAATAATTTCTTCGTTTAATCCTTGTGGTTAAAGATTTTTCAACGGATGATCAAATATAATGAAATCACAAACATCGCCTTCACCTCTCTGTCTCTTTCGCTCACATGCACTCTCGTTTGGTTTTTATTCTTCAGTTTTTCGCCATGTAAAATTGTAAACCCAAGCAATGCTATGTCTTTCAGCTTTTTATTTACAAAGAAAAAATGGAGGAAGAATTGTTTGCTTTTGTTGAAATTTTTATGTTTCTGGAACTGCATGTCAAGGATCTGGATATTCAGTGTTAGTTTTGAACCAAAACCATCTAATTTTTTTTCTTTTCTTCTTAATCAAAACTTTTAGTACTCCTTATGGAAGATATTTAGTCCATCATAATAGAAGTGAAAGAGGGTCATAGGCTAAATTTTGTTGACCTTCTTGTTTGATTTTTCTTTAAATCAAGGAATTGATTGTGAGTATCAATATAGTGAAATCGTCAGGTTCAATCCGAGAGACTGCTGGTACTAGTTTGCTGGGAATTGTATTTATTCGACTTGTGGTTTTCGGCGTCCTGTGAGCTCGTATTCTTTTTTAATAAGTTAATGTTGATTATGTGACTGATATTTCGTGAACGAACTGGATTTTTTTACATGTTTTTGAAATTTTACAATTGAATCTGTATTGAATTATAGTTTTAGAAGACAATTATGCATGCACGCAACTCGAAAGGCATCATGACAGGGTAGTATATTTGGAGCAGCTACTTGATATGTTGCATGGTCATTGCACATTTGCATATTCATTTATGGCATATATATGTTTCTTGCAGTGTCCTCTATGTTTTACAATGTCTTTTATTGCTGACATGCCATGAATTTACAAGAATTATGGGGTCCTATGATTTTAGTTCCGCTATCTGCTTTATATTCTCATCATGTTTGGCTATTGAGGACCATTAAACATGGAGTATTAGAAGCAATTATATGTTAAAAGGGTAGACCATTAATGCATTCACAATTGGTAATGTTGTATTTGACATCTAATGTTTATCTTAAACAACTCATTTGACGCCTTAGGTTTTGGAGTGACTATGACCGAACCTCTTTCCCTTTCGAATGAGTTATAAGTTCTCCTTTCGAATGAGTTATTAATTGATATTCTTGGTTTATTTTAGT